TATTTGAAACATTCTTTGGCTCTTGAGTAATCTTAAATAATCTTGACTAATCTTTAGTAATCTAGGCTTAGCAAGCTAGGAATGTTTGAATTTTTTATCGTTTACTACATTGAAAACACTTCATTTTAACAAATATTTATTTGAATAGTTCTAAATAAATATTTACTAAATATAAACGTATATTTATTTGATATAAAATTATTAATTTAACTACAATTTTTTTATTGAGTAAATATTTATTCAAAGAAATATGTACTAAAATTTAATGAATTTTTGTTCAGTGTTATTTGGATAAAAATAATTTGATTTTCGATAAAAATAAAATCAAGTATTATTATGTATCAAACGAAATATCTTTATTGCTCGAACGCCAACTATACAAATTAAAAAGATAAAAAAGAGGATCTTAGAATGAAATACTCGAAATTGTTTTCAAATAGAGTCCCAAGGAATCATGAAAAATTATCATTTATTGCGCAATCTATATACGCGTATATTATATAAAATAAATCTTCCTTTTAGAATTTTAATTTACAGCCAAGAGATTTTAAAATGTGGCATGATCGATAGTCTCTTTCGACAATTCTGGAACAAAAGAATTATAGCTGTAAGAAATAATGCAATGTTTGTGTTTTATTATGGAGCAGCTCGTATATCACAGAGCAAGAAGACCCAATTGACCAGAGTTAGCATTAATCGATATCGATGCAACACGCTTCTCAAATGTGTCGATCGCTCACGAAAGTCATTCGCCAAGTAAACATCTCACATTGCGGCAAGAACGTTCATTTACGTGATAATAAATACGCGGCCCTTCGCTTTTTCAAAAACTGCTTTGATAAGATGTATCACTGGTCCAACTAATTATCATTTGCGTCAGAACGATTCTTATTATCAATACGGCTGTAAATAAACAGCGTAGATACACTTGACTTGCTCGCTGAGACGAGCAACAAGCTTATGACATCCCGTGCGAGATTTAATTTGAATATCGTTTTTTCTCGGAGCTTCAATACCGACGAGTATTGACTTTGATAACGCAAAGCGAATAGGGTATAAAAGAATTATAGAGATATTTATAGACATTAATACTGTCGGTATGTATCGGATAATTTTTATATTATCCTCGAACACTTGGATATATTATTCTAGCATCTGCGGTTATTTAAAGTCACAGATAAGTTGGCGACGTGATTCGTGATATATCTGACGAACAGAAATATAATTCTACATGACGTTTATCCTTGTTTTATAAGTCACTCGAATCACTTACGCAGGTGTTCATGACACTCTTTTTTTTATGTAGATATTGAGATAAATTTAATAACTGCGAATTGAAGTGCCAGCCTTTATATTTATTTTGCTTTATAAAATACTCGAACCACTCGTATCGCAGCGTTCCAGGAATTGACTGAAAACGTAAATTGTTTTTTCGATCTAGATTCGTTGATAAATTAAAATATACATTTTTCTCTACAGAAATGGATTTTTCTCTGGATAACGTTTTCTTAATTAGCAAACGGCAATACGTTTATCTCGTGCATGCGGTTCAAATGAAATTCTGCATGCAGACGATACTTGAAAAAATCCGAGATATGAAAATAAATCCGTATGACGGTTTATATATCCAAGAACAAATTGCACGTTTATCAAAGGGATTCTGCGTCGAACGTAATTTCCGTTCTTCGTGAAATCGTATCTCATACTTAGGCAAGTGGATTTGTTAAGCGCGTGAATCACCACGTTGAAAACGATAGAAAAACGGTGGTTTCTGAGTACCGACCTTGCAGGAAAGCGATCTGGGAATATTTCTTCGGGTCAACTATTTATAGTGCAAGCCAACATTTTCATCTCCGTCACCGTTTATGCTCGGACGAAAGGCTTATTGACATCATGCTGCGAATTTTTGCTACCGACAGTTTGCTATTGATTCACGTTGGAATGTTTGTACCTGTTATTTTATTTTGTAAATCTATTTTTGAGACAGTTATACATCTTTTTTTAGAACAAGGATTTTTAGGCGTAAATTACGATTGTTAAACTATAAATAACCGTAGTTTCTATTTGTGTATAAAGCGTATAAATATTATTGTCAAACCTAATATTACTATTAAAATCGATAGTGTAAATCAATAGTCTAATATTAAAATTAGTGCGAGTTTTACGAAAGAAGAAATTTGAAAATTGCTAAAAAAGATGAAAAATACGATAACAGCACATTACGTACTTGGAATATAAATAGAAGTATAGTTAACTTGTTGTCTACATGATCCACCTACATAGTTTACAAGAATACATCCGTGTCAATTTCATGCAAATTAGACGCAGAGAAACGCGTATGTACAGGCGTAATCTAATTATCCTCGATGCAACCCCAATTCACGTTCTCTGACGTAAATGTAGTAGTATTTGTTATGCGTGGATCGTAAAGTCTGTAACATTTATAACGAATTCGTCGTAACAGTTGTTTTGTCTGCCTTTGTAGAATCTATAGGTCGCAGTTGCCCTCGTGGCGAACACAACGAGAACAATCGTTGGTTTGACGAACGAAAACAACGGTACTCAACAACGCGCCGCATTCTATTAATAACTTGGCACCGCGGCTCTTTGTAAATTTGTCGAGGGTCGCGGCGAGCTCATTGATTCATTGATCATATCGTGGGAGAACGATACGTCTCTCGCGGAAGTGCCATCGTTGTTAGACTAGTGACCCTCTCTAGAATAAGAGTATCAAAATAACATTCAATTAGAATTGACCAGCATCAATCACGCAACTGATGGAAAAGAATTATTTATGGCAATTTATGACACAGTTTGACAAAAAAATTACCTTTTTCTCCGAAATGTCATATCCCGAAGATTTTTTTTGCATTGAACACAATATCGTTGGAATTTAGCATTGTCGAATCCATGGGGAGGGGCTATGACCTCCCTTTTTTAAAAATATTGATGTTAAATGTTATACACATATTTTTTTAATATTTGTGAAATACTTAATCACAATTTTAATTCCAAAAATATTTTTTAATTTAAGAAATCGTATAGATATAAAAAATATACATAGATCCCATTATATTATTCTTTTTTTGTATTAATATAATTTCAAATAAAACGTTTTATGAATGATATATTTAAATAATACTTTTTCAACGTAACGCCACTAATAATTTAAATATTTTATTTTTTACACACACATATTTGACTATAAAACAAATTTCACTTGCGACGCCTCCTCCTCTTGAAAAATTTCTGGATCCATCAATGGTAGCACAGCAAAATTTTTAATAAACTGTAATAAAAAAAAATTACATTTTTGACCTATTCAACATTTTTATGGCAAAACAAAAACTCGTTTTTATATGAAGTCCACAGAATCTAAAAATACACACATAAAATTCAAGAGTTTTAAATAAATTTTAGTTCATGATCATACAACTTATTTTCTTCAAGTTATAGTTGTTTAAATTTCTGTATAATTCAAACAGTCATAACTTAATGATAATAAATCATACGATGAACTAAAATTTATTCAAAAATTTTTTAATTATATTTTTAGGTATCGCAGACTTTATTATTTAGAAATACGTTTCGCTGTGAAAAATATTGAAAATGATAAAAAATGTCATTTTTGCCCATTTCGTCCTAATTTATTCAAAATTCTGACGTTATACACAAATTCTGTCAACGGCATCGTGTTCAGTACGAGAACATTTTCGGGATATGTACTATGGCACTTGAGAGAAAATTTGATGATGAATTGTGTTTAATTCTTCACCAATTCTTCAACAATTATTAACTATTTGTATTTCGAAATCATAATTAATCGCTAGTTTTATTTAAATTGCTTGTTTTATTTAAATTCAGTGGACTGGCAGTTACTAATTACGGCCGTAACTTACTAATTGTATTTATAATTAGTTGATGGTTAGGCACTGCTTCATATTTGTAGATGTTCGGTAATGAATTACTATACTTTTTAAAATTATAATATGGAAACGTGTATTTCGGTCAACTGTAAATCTATTTATCGGATTAGATTAAATTATTTTAAGTTTCTTATGTAATTAATTATTAATTAATAAACATTAATTATCTTAAGTTCCTTATATATCTATGTTTAATATCTTTGGGCGAGTTAGAGACGATCGATCATTTCGAGCTTTTCGAATAACGGTATCGCCGCGTGTAAACACAAACATAATATCATAAAACCGCAAAATGATTGCAGGAACGTTAACAGTTCATATTGATGAAAACGATTGATATTTTCGAAATGGGAAATGAAAATGAAATTCTTGCCATGTACAAGCATAATTCTGTTACCGAATGGTTGCAGAAAACGGGACAAGCCATGGACTATGTAAATAATGGTAAATCGATAATTATAAATTTTAATCTTCCTCTAATTTTCGTTGCAATTTATTTTATACTCTTTATCTTTAAACAAAAAGCGTTTAAAGATAAATAATTTAAAATACATAAAAATTTCGTAATGTTTATGTAATGTAAATCTTTATATTCGTATAAATTATAGTACAGTAAAATGTTTAAGAAATCTCACCAAATTCTATCACATTTTGATATCATTTATAATAATACGTGCTTTAAATCCTTTAACTAAACACACGTTATATGCTTTTCACATATATTGTTTTTTAATTAATTATGGCACATTTATATTTGTATATGCAAACTTTGAAGTGCACAAAGAGGAGTAAATGATAAAAAAAATAAATTATGTAGAAGTAATAATGTTAACATCAAAATAAAATATGTAAGTAGAATAAATAATATAAAATTTTGTACATTTAACTTTAATTATTAAAAATAAAAATTTGTTATTGATTTAGTTCAGAATTTCGTGTTATAGTAGAGAATAGTTCTACTATAGTATTCTACTATAGGTATTGTAATAGGTTATTCTGAGTAAACGAACTGTGCGGACCATATTCTTTATTAGCGGATCTTATTTAAACAAAATTATTTTATTTCTGATGCAGGTAGCGAAAGCCCAGTTTTTGGCATCGAGGGTGGTGGCAATGCTGCAGGCGCCAGCAATAACTTGAGACTTGCATCTCACGAGCTGCCAAATGAGATTTCGGCACCCTATGAAGTACCTCAATTTCCGATTGAACAGATCGAGAAGAAGCTCCTGATCCAACGACAATTGACTGTCAAGTAAGTATTCATTCTGATTGCATGCATTTTTACAGCGTTTTTTGGTTTACACAATTCAGATCGGTTCAAGTAAAGACTTATACTTACAAAATTATTTATAATTATATACTTATAATCTTATACATATATAAAATATTTTAGTTTCTTAAATTTTATATTTTATTTTGTAATATAATCCCGATTTAAATACATTTTAATCGAAATATATCCTCGCAAAAATTGATTCCAGTTGTATCAATTATAATACGAATCGAAAAAAATTATTATTAAATTGACGCGAAAGTTGTTGTATTTATTAAATAAAGTTAAAAAAATGTTACTCATCAAAGCAAGAAGCCACTGTAGTTTAAAGACCAGAGATTTGCTGTTTTTCCAACAAGTTTTATATTAAACAAAGTTGAAAGTTTTTTTGAAAAGGGCATTGAAAAATTTATCTCTGATGAAAAGAAATATTTTTATATATTTTTCTTTTTATTTAGAGGCAAATTTTGCAATGACCTTTTCAAAAAACTTTCAACTTTATTTATAATATAAAGTTTGTCGGAAAAACAACATATTGTACGTTACTCTAGTCAACCCCCTTAACGTGTAGAGCTTATATATGTATATTAAAATTGCATCTCGAATAGAAGGATTGATTTCAATTAGTTTAGATAATTTCATGTTAGATGATTAGTAAGTTTAGATAATTATTTCGTGTCGAAAGAAGTTAATTTCAAGGGATACGATAAGCAGGCGGCTATAAAACTGAGATCGCGATATATTTACGACGAAAAGCACTAAACTGTTATCGCTATATCGAAGGGTATAAAGTACTTGGCTGTATGTACGAGGGTTACACACATACAGTACGTGTGTTAATACGTACGTGATCGAGTATCTAGTAAAACCAAGTGCTAAACCAAGCTAGATCGCTATACAGGGTGACTGCAACACGGGTATTTAAGTCTCACACTTAAATTAAAATTTGATGAAAATCGCTAGGAATATAAACTGAAATTGTTTTTAGAATAGCAATTTTAAGGAACGATATTTGGAAAAATTATCTTTTTCAAAAAATAAGACGTTTGAAAAAATATCGTACTTCTTGTATCTTAAACGATATAAACATTCTGTTTTCGAAATCACGCTGTATGTCTAAACGAGATCACATCGGGTAGATAATCATCATAATCTGTTCGGAGGTTTTTTACAGAAATTAAGGAACGTATAGAAGATCGTTTATTTTTTGCACAGTACTATTATGGAATCATCGTATTAATCGTGAGATACGGGATCGATTTTTAAACATGAGGATATCTCTGCCCAGAATATGCCGAATTAGCTTGCTTCTCTGTTGAAGGAATATTAAATGCTCTTTACTAATTCTTACTTAAGCTTTAAGCGAGAATTTGTATTTAGTGAAGATAAAAGAGGAAAATAAATTCACTGGTCACACACACACAGAAAATCTGAGAAATTCAAGGAATATTTTGTCACATTTGCGTAATATATTCGTAAATATTTTATGGTTGTAAATAATTAATATGATTAGGAGCGCTATACTTGTTGTAGTAATAGACCGGCATTTATAAGCGGTTCTTATATTTAAGACCGTCGTAAGTAAAGCTTTAAATGTGATGATGAATCATTACAGGCAGTATTCATAGTTAAATCTTATATTTAGGATTGTCTTAAATAACGTTTCAAGATGCTAATACGAATCTCTAGTTGATTCATGGCATCTTAAGACTGTACTTAAGACAGTCTTAAATATAAGAATCGATTATGAATACCGGTCATAGAGCCGTATTTAGCATCTTAAGAAGTTACTTAAGACGGTCTTGAAATAAGAACAGACTGTATGAATACCAGCCATAGTGTTGATAATTGGACATTGATGCGACGCTTAGGGATAGCTGTTCCACTTCCTGTATCATGGCATAATAATGAGAAGATGTTTTATATACGATGTTTTATGTATACTAATAGAACGCCAACTCGGCAATGTTCGCCACGACGATTTGCGTCCGCGCGAACCAGTTCGGAATTATTATCGTCGTTAGATATTTTACCGGTACCGTGATGTATTATGTAGATCCAAGCGAAGGATATAAACGGATAGATAGAGACTGGTAGGTCACGCCGCCCACGTCTTAACTGGAACGGCAGACATTTTGTGAATTTTGCGCAAGAAATATCGCATTGCTATTCAGTGGGTCAGTTCTGCGCTCTTTTGAGATCCTGCGTCTTTTGAATTGCTTTCTACATTTTCGAAAATTTTTATTTTTAGTAAAGGATTCTTTACATATGATAAGCACCTTTCAAGACAAATCTGTAGTCCATCGTGCCAATATTGTCCGCTTCCCATCTTTATAGTAGCCACCGTTCTTGGTGTTTCCAATAGTGTCCTCGGATCTCGAGGCATATTAGGTATTTTTGAATAAATCAAAATATCCAGTAATGTCTTCAATGCATCATGACATGTATTAAATGTCAGCGCCCATTCTCTTAATGCTTCTCTTATGTCGATACATTTGTCTTTCAAATCATCAAGTACATCATCATTATCTGATGATTCAGTATCACAATTGCTACGACAGTCAGAATGCATTTTCATGCTCCGATAAATTTTGTAATAAAGTAGAGTCTAATGCTGCCCGTTCAACATTCTGCGATAAATTTGATGTGGAAATTATATGTTTTTCATCCAACTGCTCCGTAACTCTTTCGAAATTGGATTTCACAATATTAGTTTTCTTCGTACGATATTAGTTTTTTCTATAAAATGTATTACTTTTTTTTAATTTTTTAGACTTTTGCAAATCAGTCAGTAATGCTCTTTTCATCTCGAAATATATAGCAATAAAATTAACTTTCTGATCCCAAAAGTAGCAATAAAATGATTGAGGTTATAAATTTTAATTGTTTTTTCTCTAAGATAATTGTCATATGATGCTTTCACAGCCAAAAAAAATAGTTATGGCTGCATTTTGGCTTTTCTCTTGACTCTTCTCATATTACAAACACGATATGGTACTCATATTACAATAGTAACACGATAAAGTATTAAGCTAATTAACGAACAAGATAAGTGTTAGTTTTTTAAACAATTTTAAATCTAATGTCAATTAATAAACATGATCACGGAACATTTTGACTTTAACTTTCAAGTTCTCTTCAGCTATTAAATATTAAGCGTGATTTGCACGGGGCGACTTTATTCGCTAGATGCCGCGTGTAGTGACGTCATTAATTCGCCAGCGAATTCTCTCGACTCTGCTGCTATTCGCTTGAAGCAAACTTCGTACTTCGTCAGCGAATTCGCGTTGGATGAAAACTTCTTCTACACGCTTGTTTCTATTTGCTTGCGTCTAAAATTTTGAAGTCGCAGCGTCTAAATCACAGAGCAACGATCGAAGCATTTATCACCAGCGATAAGTAGCGCAAGAAGTTAGTAACAAGCTAGCGACAAGTTAGCGACGTGCGTCGAAAGTAGTATTCGCCGTGACTAGACGCTAACAAGAACAAACCCGCGTCTAGAAGAAGTTTTTTAGTAGCTAATTCGCTATGACGTCACTAAACGCGGTTTCTAGCGAATAAAAGTCGCCCCGTATAAATCACACTTAACAACACGCGACTATTTTGTATTACGTCTATATCTACATATACATATAGGATTTGTGTTATACTCTTAGAGAAACTTATTACTGACAATAAGAATTACTACGAAAACTATAATGAAAGTTGATATTATTTTAGTATCGTTTTGGCGTAATATTGAATTAAATCACACTGGCTGGATTTCTAATTTTATAATATTGTTGAAATATTGAAAGTTATTAGGATCCTTTACAGAAATTGAATACTGGAAAATAGTGATTAAGTACTTATTTGGAATATAAAAAGCAGTAATAATTAGCGTTGTTTATACTTAAAAGAATTAATCGATACCTTACAGTATTAAATTTCTGTAAGGCTATAGAGAATTCTAAATTTAGATATGTATTTATATGTGAGTAGCAGCACTGTTGGTGTCTTACCGATTGTGTATTCATACGTTTTGTGCGTATCTGTCGATATAATAATATGTATTATAGTTTGATTGATAGTGTATAATTAAGTTCAAAATATAATATTTGAGTGTTGTAACAAAATTTTAATTTAATTAATTAAACGGCACCGTTAGCAAAATTTATTTATGGACTAAATTTAATTTAATTATCAATTTACAAAAAAGACGGGAACTATACAACATTTATATATTATTTATATTATTTTTAATCAATCTCTTTTTTTCTCTCGACTTGCTTTATTTAAAGTCAATTTTTACAACTATTTGCTGCGCGCAACAATTTTTAAGATACTCTCATGTGTGTTATTGTTATTATTTTTTTCTCGCATTCATTTGTGTGTATTCTAGAACGATTCTACTCACTTCAAACTTAATTTTTTTTTATCTTACATTTTTATATTCTTTCGCTTTGGTATTTCGATCCATTTTGTAACTTGATTTTATGCGTATTATTCTTTTTTTATATTTTTTTAACTGTGTATTTATTTTTGCCAAAGAACTTGAGGAGATTTTCTCAGAGCGCTCAATAAATGGTGAGATCTCTCTCTTTCTCTTTCTTTCTCTCTTTCGACTGGTTGTTTCACATTACAATATTAATCGTTTAGTAAAAACCATATGAAGGACGAGCAATGAAACATATTTGACTGAATACACATTATTATTTCTAAATATGCCACATGATTGCAAATATATTTACGTTTATGTACTTACAGCGTAAGTATCGGGAAAAGAGGAGCGCATTCGCGCATTATTTAGATCGATTCGCAATCTTTGTTTACCAATTGCATGAAAACTGCGGATTACCTTGATATGGTCGTTGATCACCGATAAAATCGTCATCGTCGTCGTCGTCGTCGACGTGAACAGAATTCTCGTTGCTGCAGCCAATAAAGCTACGATCAATAATTCAACGCGGGACGTATGCCTGTTTGGCCTCGAGATGCTTAATGTAACACGATAATTCAATTCGAAATGTATGTCATAATCATTAATACTTATTTAAAAATAGAATCATTCCAGTAGGCAATCAAATGGTTTGGCAAAAAAGATCGATCCACGAGCTGTGAAAAGAACTGATAAAATCTTGAACAACAATAAGCTCACCGAGAGATGAGGCGCGCGTTTGGAATTGTCAAACACAGACCTTGTTGGGATCCTGTATAACGATCTCTGCTTCAAAAATCGATTGTAACTGATCTTCGTCGTGAAGCAAAGGCCAATAAGTTTATTCAAGATAGTTTCTTCCCATTCATATTTCTATCTATTGTCCCTAACTAGAAGTACTCACGATATACTTCAACAGTATTGAAGCGAAAAGCAATATTTTGCGACGGCGACATCGTTGGTAATCTTTAGAGAGAGAAATAACGACAACAAATAACGCATCGGATAAATTACTGGGAGGCCTAAGTAGTAATTAAGTAAACGATAATAAATACGCGCGCGCGTATCACGCTACTCTCTAAATTCTTTTGAGTAGAAATTCTAAAGAATGAAAATTAGGGCAGTCTTGAAAAAGAGTGGTTCAGTTTTTACTCTTTAACGCCCAGTTTCACAAATGTAAGATTAACTTTAATCTGGGTTCAACTTACTCCTTATCTTTTTCCAATTTTAGAATTAGAAAAAGATGAGGAGAGTATAAGGTTAACTTTAATCTCAGTTCAACTTACTCCTTTTTCCAATTTTAAAATTGGTAAAGGATGAAGAGCGTAAGTTGAACCGAGACTAAGTTAATCTGACATATTTGGAACCGGGCCTTAGAGTGAGATTTCACTCTTCAGAGTGACGATTCACTCGAAAAAGTTTTAGAGGGTATATTTTAATGACGGTATAATTCATTGCCACATTGAGCATGCACAAAGGATACAATGTGCAATGTAGGAAAGTTACGTTATGTAAATGGAAACCATGTATCGGCCGTTTTTACATGCAATCGGAGACTACTGTGAAACGTGGAGGGACGCGGCTCGATCCGAGCGCGGGGATGGGTCGAAGGGGTTGCCCGCGATCAGCCGCCCTCCACGGCCACCCGCTCAGTGCTCGTGCGACCGTCGTTGATATCGGACGTATACCCGGCGGGGTACGCGACTTCCGGCACGGTCGAAAGAGTTGCATGCGCGTGGAGGAGGTTTTAGGTACCGTTCGCACGAGGCTCGTGAGCCGCGCGCTGTGCTCCGTATCGAAACCGGTATTAATAACCGGTGATCTGCAGATACGAGAAATGGACCTCACGCTAAACCGTAGTTGTTATGATTATAGAGATTATTTCAAATCACCGGGATCCGATGAAACTGCAACTCGAGTTCGATCACGGCGTGCAGTGTTTAATGTTCCAGCGTATAGCTATGATCTCCATGGAGAATTAGCGTCACGTGACGGAAGACCCGCGAAGATGATCTAATTATTAATTATTATTTTTTAAATACAGAAGATATCCTTGATAATTCGACAATTATGTTCGTCGGTAATTGCATTGATCGCTTCGTTGGTTTATTAAAAACAAACATCTGCTTGATACAAGTATAACGAACTCTATTCAGATTATATTAAACCGCTCTCTACCTTGATTTGGGAATCACATATTTTGATTTATCGATCCTCTTGACGCGCGATGTAATTACATTACTGGAGCTTAAAAGCGTCGGTACTGCAACGCAACGGCACCAACACGCGGTCGATCCATATAATTGGTATAGCGTGAGAGATGTAGCGAGCTAAGAAGTCTCGCGTTTAAAACGTGATATAATCAGACTGCAGCGACACTAATCCTTACGTGAACGACACTGTGGACGAAATCGTTCGATGCTGGCGAGTGAGTTAATTGAAGAAAGGGGCGCTTCTTGCTTGCGCTTCAAACACCGCGTCAACAGCATCGGTGACGCAGAAACGTGCAATACGCGATTCGAGGATCTTCCGAGAATTTGGTTCAAATTTATGATCTTTCCTTAATCCGTGAGACTTGTTAAGCCAACTGATTTCCGCTTACATGTTGCCCTTATATTCGTAGAGAACTGAACATTGGATGATTACCAAGGAATACAAAAAGAGATTCAGAAAGAAGGAAATTTAAAGAATCTTCGATAATACGGATAAATTTCTTTTAAGATATTTATTCGAATGCGTCGTGCATGAATTGATAACATTTTGGCATTTTTGTCACTCAATTGAACAGAATATAAAAAAAAATCAATGTGGGTATAATATCATGCGTCTATGGAGTTCTCATCGTGTGGGTTTTAATAATAACGCCTACACGGTGTGAATTTAATATGATGGGTTTTATATCAACTGATATTTTTAGAGTGTTTCTATATAAACTTTTTAACTGTGGCGTTTAGTGAGATTTATTGTGTGGAGGAGATACAAAGGTGTGATAAACGCGTTTACCGCAGCATCGTATAGCACACTGCTATTACATCGCGAAATTTTGTTACACTTTTCGCCGCATCTCACAATCATTTGTCAACGGAATAAAACAGAATATGATGAAAAATATGAATGGAAAAAAGTATATATGTACATAAATATTGTAAATAAAATAGTAACATTAATGGTTAAAAAATTATATTTATATAATAGAAATGTACAAGATCTTTCTACCTGTTTTTCCATACATGAATGGAGCACGAATTAATTTCATTTACATATCGAAAAAATTTTATATTATTTTCCGTTTTTCTCTATAATATAATTTTATTTTATATTTTCTGACATTTTTCGCATATTTTCATTCAACGCAAAATATTTTTTGCGAAAAGCACGTAATTTTCCGCGAAATGATTATGGAATATTCAGCAATGAAGCCGATGGAACGATTACGTTCATTTGACAGAACATAGCAGGGTGGTGAAATATATGCATGAGATTGTGGAAGGAACTGGGAAGGGACCACGCGGCTTCCATTGTATCCTATCAGTTCCTATAAAGAGAACTTATCGGGTATTCCGCCCGACTAATCATGAAAGATCGCAAAGATTTCCGGCCGGGTTACCGAAGATCAGGCGACACGATTGATCTACGATTGTGATCGAGGAAAACGAGCGCGATTCGTCGATTATTGCTCGGGACTGCAAGTGAAAATCCGTCTTCCGTGATAGGATCCCATGTATCGTATCCGTGAAAACTTGCAGGGGAGTGTCAAATGAGCGTGGAGAAAAGTGCGGCACAAATCGGCGTCGCGTTATTCGACTCGCGCTTCCGCATCGTGATTTATTCCGCGCGTAAGAGCGATCGATCTCCAGCAAGTGGTATCGATCGCGTAACATGTTCGCTGGCGCGAATGACTCGAAACGGTGGACGAGGGATAATAGGATTCTCCTGAGGTAATTTGTGCTTTGATATTATAAGAACAGAATTATACTTATACAATTTTTGTGAACGTAAATCGAATACGCAATTTGGTTGCTTTATTGATTATCGATTTGATCTATCGCTCTTATTTTAGTGCGTTGTAAATTATTACTATACGCTTAAGTCATATACCTAATCATATCTAGAGACAAACATACTTTTTAATATATATGTATAATGATAATGAATTTAAAGACCGAAATTATATAAGAATAGATAAATAATTGGATTATTCATTTTGATAATATTATAATATTTAGAGATATTAGATAATTAATTACGATATCAATATATGTATATTAATTTTCATTAATAATATAGCAATGTTACAATATTAGTAACATTTAACTAATATATTTTGTGTAATTATTATATTAATTTTTATTATTTTTTTATTTTTTTTGTTTGATTTAAAGGATATTTAAAATTATCTCGAAAATAATACTTTATTTTGTACACGATTTTAGTATTTCTTTTGTGTGTATCAGAGGTATTATTTTTAATATGCAACACTCTTATCCTGATAGTATATGGAATTATGGACAATGGGGATATAATACAAACAGGCATTAATGGAACATTTCATGCGCGACGCAATAATTAAAGAATGGTTATCTCAGAGTTTTTCATTTGCTGACATGTATATAAAAAAAATATCGCCTGAATATTTATTGATAGCCTCAGGTCAAAGATAAAGTATCTATCACTTCAAATTTAACCATCTTCTTTTGTGATTGGAAACTCGACCACGAAAGTATTTCATTTGCCTTTGTTGCAACCGTAGATTAACTCCATTATGAATTCTCCCTAACACATCAGCATTGTAAAAGATAATTTTAAATATTGTTCTGCATAGAGCAGCAGTTAATATACATAATGGTATGAAAAAAATTCCTTGTTCCAATCTAAAGTGAAACGAGAATGAGGTAGAATATTGAACTTTTGAATTATAAATAGATATTGTATTTTATTACTCGTTTAATTTTTTTGTACTAATAAAATTGACTAAAAATGTCAGTTTTAATTACCGAGTCATTTAATATTGCGCATTAAAAAATTTTGTAATGAATTTTAATAAAAATCTTTATCGTAGATTCAAATAAAAAATTTACTTTTGCAAATGATTTTAATATTTCTCGTCAGAGATATTTTTAATATGCGATATTTTGCAGAATAATTACGAATTATTTTCTATGAAAATATATACCACATACATCGCGAAATTTTATTTTATAAAACATGAAATGAATTTTCTCGAAGAGTCAATGGTTTCTTTTCTTATTTAACAGAGCTGCAAAAGATCTTGAGGAACGCCGCAGTCATTATGAACCGTCACTTCACCCAGGAGTTCCTGATGACATTGATCATAGTTTCAAAATCGAAGAAAATGATTTCGTGCCTCATTTTCAACGAGTCTCCATATCCGGCGAGGACACTTCTGGAGTGAGTTTCGGATTGTTGATTTCAGCTCTCTCTGTCTCTCTCTCTCTCTCTCTAACTCATATTTGATTTTTTAAATAAACACTTTATGATTTTCATAACTATTTTTTCGAATGAAAATCGTATTTATTATCATTTATTGTGTGTGTGTGTGTGTGTGTGTGTGTGTGTGTGTGTGAGGAGATAATTAAAAAATTATTTAACTAGCATTTAACATCATTTAACGTATCCTTATCATCCTTATCATGATTATAATTTGCTAAATTTGCTAATCATCCTTATCATGATTATAATTTGCTGTACAATAATTAAATAAAAATTTTGCGATTAAAATTACAAATGTTAAAAATACAGAAAAAATTTATCATCTCTATAAAATATTTTCTGAGAAATAATTATAAACCCAGTGAGAAATGACAATGAAATCAATGTCGATTCCATTATCATTTCTCACTGGAAAGTATTATCAAGTAATTGACAAGATAGAAATGTAACGATCTAGTGGAGATGTAACTTTATGGTTTCGCGAGTGCACAATGTGATATGTGTCCTTAGAGATTTTGTGTGAAATGGAAACCTTGGGACTGCGGATTTACGCGCGAAACCCTTGGTCACCTAGATTTGCCCCTTCTTCCTTCATCCTGCATCTACATTAATCTAAGGAATGTCTAGTTTAATCTCGATGACATGAAATATATCAGAATCTTTTATCCAAAATATTTTATTAAATTTTAAATCAAATTATATATATGGGACGTTCCACGTCAACGGGGACAAGCGTCTGGGCAAAATTTGTGAAGTCGAAATGACACGTTCGAGGGCTTAAAATTTTCGTTTTTATATGTGGTTTAAGGAAAAACGTGGCGTTTTTTAAATTCAAAGCGGCTGCTCCAATATGGCGGTTAGAATGAATAAAAAACTTATGAAAATTATTAAAAACGTTTATTTCATTGATCAGATGGTCCAAAATTCATTCGATTTCCATGAAAATCGATATTTGTGAGTATTTCGAATCATTCATGAACAATCCGTAGTCATATTTCCAAAATTTGAAATGACGGATTCAGTATGGCGACTGTACTGAATGAAGAACTGACTGGAATTCTTAAATCATTAATCAAGTAGTCCAAAATTTATTCAATCCTAAAAATCGATATCTGAAAGTTTTTCGGGTCACTCATGATTAATCCGCACTCAGATTTCCAAAATTTAAAATGGCGGATGCAATATGATGATGATTGTAGTGGAAGAAGAATTGACTGGACGCTTAAATTCTTAATCATGTGATCCAAAATTGATTTTTTTCCCATGAAGATAGATATGTGAGAGTCTTCAAAGATGCATTTCGTCAAGATTCACAGATTGTGAACGAAAATTTATAATGAATTGAAAAATACATTCTGCATCCGTCATTTTGAATTTTGGAAATATGACTACGGATTGTTCATGAATGATTCGAAATACTCACAAATATCGATTTTCATGGAAATTGAATGAATTTTGGATCACCTGATCAATGAAATAAATATTTTCAATAATTTTCATAAGTTTTTTATTTATTCTAATTGCCATATTAGAGCAGCCGCTTTGAATTTAAAAAAATGCCACGTTTTTCTTTAAACCACATATAAAAACGAAAATTTTAAGCCCTCAAACGTTTTATTTCGATTTCACAAATTTTGCCCAGACACTTGTCCCCCTTTGACGTGGAACGTTCCATATATATATTTTTTACGTTATTTTATTGTATAATAGAGATTTTTATGTCGTAATAATTAATGAATATTTTATAATCAGGAAAATGATTAAAATATTGTTAATTTGAAAAATTATTTCGTTAGTGCGTCCCTTATCCAATTTTATTACGATTTATTTATAAAACTTATGCGTAGGTACCTCTGGAAGATCTTCAAAGGGCCTCCAAGATGTTGGTGCAGGCATTGGCGATACGCGAAAAATACATGAACAACTCCAAGCAGAGCTTCCCCACTATTACTTCTAGATTCTTGCGTAGTATCGATAAAAGACCACTCACTACGGATGACGAAGTTCATCACGATGATCGCAAGGCCATCGAAGGTATTTATCGTTAATTGAGAAGTGGCTCCAGTATCAAAGTCATAATGAAAATCCAATTCGACGTTCCATACCTACCTTAACCATACTTATTCCCGTTGGACGTCCTTCCCTCGTTGTGTGCCAAAGAAACGTGACTGTAATCTCACAAAATATTCCAGTGCAATTAACATTAACGTTTAATGCTTCAAACGCCGATGACAATAACGACGTCAAGCTACCTTATATGTATTGTGTAAATTTTGTTTCTTTTCTTTTTTGTCAAACGCAGCGATGTGTATCTAATCACGCGGCTCCTCGTGCGGAGCTTCATACAAAGCACAGCTTTAGTTTAGTGTGCCAAGCACTACACATTTTTAATATGAGTATACATGTCAAATTCATTATAATATTAAATTCAGTATAATAAAGAATATACGATGCCCGTTTTATTAAACATCGACGCGCTGATCAAAGACGTCTCTTGGACAGGTCTTCCTAGTACCTATTAATATCCTTACCTTGAATTTCCTGTTGCACGCTGTTTTTAATCATGATGTACTTGTTACTTCTTAAGAATCTCTTTATCATGTGCGAGGTAGTTTTATCTCGGAATAAATCAAACAGCGCTGCGGCAACAAACGTTTGGCGATAAACGATACTTCTTTAACATGCATCTCGATTAATTATTAACAGATCACCCGGTACATGCGCCTGCTTCTCGGGGCGATCCTTGGGAATGTGAATTTCCACCGACGAAGAATTACAAGATCGTACCAGTCAATGGCGTGTTCAACCTGTTCGCCAATGATGAGGATCTGGCCAACGGCAAACCGCTCCCGTATTCGTATCCGGACCTGGCGGCCTTCGTCCAAGACATGAACCTTCTCTGCGCCATGATCGCCGACGGACCCTTGAAATCTTTCTGTTACCGAAGACTGAGTTACCTCTCCTCTAAGTATCAGCTACATGTGCTGCTAAACGAGCTCAGGGAGCTGGCAAGTCAGAAGGCCGTGCCGCATAGGGACTTCTACAATATTAGAAAGGTTTGTACGCAAACAATTCATATAAAGTGTATCAAGATCGTGATTTGTAAGATCAATATTTATTGTAAAGTTAGAAACAGGATAATGCAATTTCAAAGTAGGAAATTAAAGAAGACTTCATATTTTTTTATATAAAGTTATTTCAAATTGAGTTTTTCTACTTATATTTCAGCAACTAATTGAGCATATAATTGAGTTGCGCTATTATATGATTGATTTTACAGGTCGATACTCACATACACGCGGCTTCGTGTATGAATCAAAAACACCTGCTTAGATTTATCAAAAAAACGTTGAAGAATCACGCTGATGAAGTTGTTACTTGTTCCAAAAACGACGAAACTATGACACTCCGCGAAGTCTTTCAATCCATGAATTTGACAACCTACGATCTGAGCGTCGACATGTTGGACGTGCATGCAGTAAGTATTTTCCCGAAGATTTACAAGAAACATCGAGGAAGTTTTTAAAAAGTATTGCACTCTTTTTTTCTCGTAGGACAGAAATACGTTTCACAGATTTGACAAGTTCAACGCGAAGTACAATCCTATCGGCGAGAGCCGCTTGCGTGAGGTTTTCCTCAAAACCGACAACTATCTGAACGGTACGTATTTTGCACGGATAATCAAGGAGGTCGCAAGCGACCTTGAGGAATCCAAGTATCAGAATGCAGAGCTGCGTCTCTCGATTTATGGCAAGAATCCAGAAGAGTGGGATAAACTAGCTAAGTGGGCAATTCAGAGCGACGTCTATTCGGATAACGTGCGCTGGCTTATACAGATTCCTAGATTATAGTAAGTCTATCGTATGGTACGCGCGGTATTTAGACTTGACGGATTTTTCACTGTTTGCACTTTATGTTACAGTGATATCTTTAAGTTGAACAAGCTTATGACGAACTTCCAAGAGATTATCAACAATATCTTTCTGCCACTCTTCGAAGTGACCAACGATCCCAATTCTCATCCGGAGCTGCATAAATTTCTCCAATACGTACGTTTTCTTATTTCATGTTATTTTTATTTCTAATCCGTTTTTGTTACTGTCATTATACTTTTCTAAATACTTTACATTCGCTATGTTATCATTACAGGTAATAGGCTTCGATTCCGTGGACGATGAAAGTAAGCCAGAAAATCCTCTCTTCGATAAGGACGTTTGTCCACCTGTAGAATGGGACGATATAGAGAACCCACCGTACGGATATTACCAGTACTACACTTACGCGAATATGACGGTTCTTAATCACTTTAGAGCGTATGTTGATTATCAAATTTTTCTATTCTATTTCGAGCAATTATCTCTTTATATATTCTGGATGAATACAATTCTGAGTTTTTTATAGAGAACAAGGTTTCAATACATTTGTCTTGAGACCTCATTGCGGTGAAGCAGGACCCATTCAACATCTCGTGTGTGGTTATATGATGGCGGAGAACATTTCGCATGGTTTACTGCTCAGAAAAGTTCCTGTGCTTCAATACTTATATTATCTAGCGCAAATTGGCATCGCGATGTCGCCGCTCAGTAACAATTCGCTTTTCCTTAATTATCATCGTAATCCACTTCCAGAATATCTTGCTAGAGGACTATGTATAAGCTTGTCTACAGATGATCCTCTCCAGTTTCACTTTACCAAGGTAAAGGAGAAATTATTATGTAGGCAATTTAATAATGTATAGAGTATCTTTTTTGTAATTTATAACATTCGTTAATATACATACATAAATAATTATTACTGTTTATTTAATACATCTCGTAGTCAATGTATGACGTATTCATTATAGGAACCCCTGATGGAAGAATATAGTATTGCTGCGCAAGTGTGGAAACTCAGTTCGTGTGACATGTGCGAGCTAGCACGCAATTCCGTTCTCATGAGTGGCTTTCCGCATAAAGTGAGTAATTCTTAATATCTGCTCCCCAGTTTTTTGTGTGCATAAAGGGCAACTATAAATCGGACTAATGCTTCTTCAAACTTTCGCCTTATTATAATGATACATTTCTTGATTCCATACACTTGCTTGGACGCGATGAAATTCCATGCGATTTAAGTGTGTTTTATTTTGCAGAGTAAGCAGTACTGGTTGGGACCTAATTATACAAAAGAGGGAGTCGCTGGTAACGATATTACTCGAACCAATGTACCAGACATACGAGTGGCCTATCGATATGAAACCTTAGTTGACGAACTGTCCAATATCTTCAAGGTCGTGGAGAAACCTGAGTCACTTCCATTTTAATAATCAATTATTTGGATTTTATTAAACCGATAGAAGTCGATTAAGGTGAAATAATGTTCAAAGATTGACGAATTATGATTATTCATATGATTTATTCTTGTGATTCCGAATCTTTTATGCTAACTACAAAATATTTTTTGAAATATTACGAGAATTCATAAGGAAATTTTCTTTTCTTATATAATTAATTAATTATTGATCTTTTTCTTTTCACACATCAAGAATATAAGTCGAAGCTGAAACTTCGAACAACATCGATCAAATTATATGTTAGATGAAGTATAATATCAAATCATCTAAAATACGTGTATCTTGTATCACAGATTTTCCAACGTGAGAATGTGCTTAAGATCGTTATCATGTGACAAAGGTACGCAATTCTATCTTGACTATGATTATAGATAGATGAAGGGCCAAATGCGATTTCGTGAGGCTATTACATTTCTATATTAAATTATAGAATCAGTTTCTAAATTGATACCGTAATTTATTATGGAAATCCGTATTTGTTGCTTAAACAAATTATGAACTTTACGTATGTATCGTTCAGCTTTCATCTTGCACCTTTTTTAAAGACTTCAATCGCAAGAGTAAATCAATCAGAAATTATACATATACGTTGACCAATTTAATAGTAGCTGTTAGAAGATATTTCTTCTATCATTGCAAGATCCGTAATATACATTAGTGTACGTATTGTAATACAAATTAGGCTAGAAACGAATATTACGTTTATTCACCTTGACATTAAGCTCGTGATAAAATAAATCCGTTTTTCATATCTCAGCCGTGTACGGCGATAGCGGTATCCCTTTCTTGGATTTTAGTTTTATTTTCTTACATTTTTGTACATTTATATCGTAATCGTGTATAACGTTTGTTTCGGCGAGCATTCAGATAGCTGGCTCGTATGCGGACAGTTAACTCGTGCCATTGTACATCCTTCTTTCCACAAATAAATAGTGTAAATAGGAAATTACTTTGATTAGATATAACTAAGATATTTTACGAGCTTTACATGCGTGCCAAGGTATGATGCAACGATATAAATATATTTCTCGTTATTTTAACTTCGTGGCTCTTTTTACTATTTTTTGTGTCTGCCATTTTCCGAGAAAACTTTCCGAACAACGAGCCTAAGAGATTTAAATTAAGCGATATACGATCATCTATAACACTTGAACACTGTGCCCTGAATATCGAATTTAAATTAAATTGTTACTAGATAGAAAGATATATATTTATTGTAAAAAATACATATACTATAAAACGGAAATATATACTTGCATCGTTAAAACAGAAATTACGAAGTTTTTGATCAAACTAACAATAGCCCAATTTTATACGCGAGCATTAATAAACTGATCCATCAAATACATATACATATATTTTATCAAAAGAGAAAGAATGCATTTCTTTTTTATTCATTAATTAATTATGAAAAATAGAACTGAGGTAGAGATTACATTTTGAGAAAATCACCCGCTATTATTTTACAAAAACATATATATAAGTTTATATACATATAACATGGACGAGCATTGATCGTTTTCACTACATATTCAAATCTATCATCACATCTATTAAAAAAATCTCCTTTACGTATTACTTTGTACATATTGAAATAACGCGACTACTACAAATACCTCGAATAATTCGTAGTCGATAGGAGATATGATTATTTGCCCTTGCCTTATTCTTAAAATTAATGAACTATTCCACTTTTTTCGTCTTAGGTACCCGCCGTAAGCTTTGTATAATCTTTGGTATCACTTCTGTAAAAATAATTGTGCCTACGAAGACTAGCAGCGTACCAATCCAGTGATATATAGTAAATGGATTCTTGAAATAGACTATAGAGAATAACAACGACAGGAATTTTCGCAGCGTTATTACCAAAGTAACCGTGAGAGAGCTGCATTCCGTGGTTAATACGAATACAGAGCTGATGCACATGTATCTGAAAGTACAGTTAAGGCGAATACTTTGAATACGTGATAGTATATTCGTCAGATATGTCGATATTACGTATATGCGCGTGTATGTAGTATAATATAGTTGCATTTAGAAAAGGATACTGCGTCAGAACATTTCCAATTAAATATATGATTAACGATGGCATGTATACACCGATCACAGGTAACCTTAATGGCTCAGATGCGAGTGCGAAGTTCCAGTGATCGTAAATATTAGGCGCTAGTGTTAGGAAGAACGGCAAGGGTAACAAGTGCTGTAAAAAAATTTTCGTTATATCGTCAATCAGTGTCAACGACGTTGATTGATATTTGACGCAGGAAGAAATAAGACTTACTGTATAGTACAAAGCCTCCCGCGCGTTTTTACCATACCGGCTGTGTAGTACCTCCTGATAAATACCCATTCTAGCAGAAACAAATAAAGCGATCGTGAGTAGAGATATGCCTAAAGCCCACCAGAAAAAATCGTCCCACGGTGTCGTGGCTACTTGCACTACATTTTTCTGCTGCAAGGACTTGATTTCCTTGCCACTAACAATTGTGCAGAGCGCTATTCCCGTAGTGATCATAAATACTGACAAATACTTGCTAAACATATACTTCTTGTTTAAAATAACAATCCCCATAATCATATTAGCTATAAGAGAACCCTGAAACAAAATACAACGTATCCTTATAGTACAGACTGCTATTTGTAACTCTCATAGCGTTTTCGAGTGGAGTGGATTTGAACCCAAACATTAATCCATGTTTGACCCGAAAGTATCATAATCTCGTCCAATCAGAAATCAAAGTAAAGCATGTGACGTCATTGATCCGACTCAAGTTAGATTCAAACCCATTCCATTCGAAAACGCTATCAGACAACATGTCTAAAATACATCTTTATGATGATGTCTTTAAGATGTCTTTTAGACATACATGTTGTCTAGGTGATTAATTAGGATCCACACAGCACAATTTCTTCAAGAGACGTCCTGAGAATGTCCTTTGGACTTTCAGAAAACGTAGGGATACTTTTAAAGTCGATATTCATAGTCTGTTATTATTTTAAAACTGCCTTAAGTAATGTTTTAAATATGTGATTGACTTATGACGTTTAAAGACAGTTTTAAATATAACAACTGATTATGAATATCAGCCTATGACGTCTGTGCTGTATGGGAATCAGGGCTGAGTAATCATTTAAAATGCCAAATATAAAATACTTAAAAAAATGTATTTAAAACGCAAAATGTTTTTCGAATCCACTTTATATGTAAAATGGATAAATAGATATTTTAAACAGTTTTCGAATACAGAATGGTTTTCCACCTTACATACATTTTAATATACATTTTTTTAAGTATTTTACATTTAGCATTTTAAATAGAATTACATTTTAAATGGCATTTTAAATGCAAAAATACCCAGCCCTGATGGGAATGAATCTATTTGCTACTTACAGCTCTAAATATCATGTGTAGCGGCATAGGAATATTAAAGTCAAACGCATAATTATTGCATACGTTGGCAATAAAAAACATTGTGACCAGGATAAAATAATCCTTTATGCCTATGTTTGGTTTAACAGTGCCACATTTGGACGTGAACAAGAATCCCTCGATGGATATAAAAAGGAACTGTGAGAACGTAATGAGATTCCCACTGCCAGGATCATCTCTGAAATCAGAGTGATCAAAAATAAAACTTCATTCAACTCGTGATGTAAGAAAATCTTACTTTCAACTCTCATTTGTTTTATCATGACATTCACTGTACGTAACAGTACTACTTCCTACTAAAGTATTACGGGCGCGATAAGTACTTTTTTTAAGTTGTACCGAATTACAGACACTAAATGAAAGAAACGATAAGTAAAAATTTTATTAGATAACATACAGTGTGCGCTGTTATGCAACACTTGGCCGGTTAGCCGAGTCATTGGTGTACTCACTTGACAAGCAGTTCCAGAAACACGACGTTAGTGCAGCAACCGAGGAAGACGCAGAACACTGCGATAGCCGCCCGCATCGTGTTCGCTCTGAATCTTATTCCTTTCCTTCCTCGACTTCCTTCCTCGTTGATTGATCTCTGGAGTCGCGGCCTAACCTATGAAGGTTACGAGTCGCGTGTTGGAGTCTCCAATGAGCGTCACGCAATCCATCGGCACACTAACCACTGCGACCTGCGTTGGCGGTCTACGTGAATTATCAGCGATGTAATAATACGATGTATCGCGCGGTCGGATTATGCGCGCGATACCACGTGCATATGTATACATATATCAGATATCATGAACGTCACTATGCCAGCTGTGCCTTAATACGTCAAGTTGCGTCAATTTTTGGAGCGCTCGGAGCATGCGTGGTGCAACCAGGTATTTGCTTCAGGTCGTCGCTTCTAGAGATGTAAAAAAACGATATTTTTGACTTCGGAGAAAAGTATCAAGTAAAAAACGGTATTTTTGACCAAATTACATAAAATTCATGAAAAAACGTTTAGAATTCGTGTTATAAATATGTAGAAGAAATTGAATTCATTTTTCTTGTTATTTCGATGCTATTTAATACTTTTGTCTTTATAATTTTATTGTTGTCTCACTAATTTAAATTTAGAATATGTATAATTACAATCACAGTATACAACATAAACAGTCAATTAGTCTAGTAAAGTACTATTTGTAATGACAGTATGGACCACTTACTTAACTTTTAAAATTGAAGTACATTATAAAATATCATTCAAATAATAGTGAAAGGTAAGGTATATTTATGACCACCGCCATTA